CGATATGAAAGTCAAACGTACACCCTAACCACCTCCACTTTGCACAGTAGTGATGGAAAAGCCATTTAATCCAAATTTCACCAAGATATTTAAGTCTTTCAAAATAAGTACATGTTAGCTCATTTGTGTAAGGTGCAAGGAAATTCAGCTAGACTAACATAAATTATCAAGTCATACACAGCATAGTTTAAAATCCCCTAATTTCTAAGAGGTTGCTTTGCTGATCCAAAGTAGAGAATATTGTACACTTCACACACACAGATGGAGCCTGGTCACAAAAAGGAAAAAAAAAATTAAAGTCTAATGGAAAAAGGCCAATAATTAATCCCTGCTCTTCTTGTATATAAAGAAATGTTCCTTTCCACCATGTCAGCCAAGCTTCAAAGCAAGAGATAAAAGCAGCCATGTGATTCAGGCAATTGATTCTTAAAGACATGATTCAAAGGTAGAAAAAAAAATTCTAAAGTGGAAAGAGTATCATACAATATCTCTCTGAACTGTATTTTAAGTGCTTCCTTTCCAATATTTTTTTTTTTTGTTCCTCCTAAGTTCTTTCTATAGCATATTAGGAAAACAAAGTAAGAGTTTTTAAAACACACAGCTCTCTCTCCCTCTGCAGGGCACAAATTTAAAATATTTCTATTTTACAGCCATCAAAGCACTTCTATCTTCTTCTTTTTCAAAAGAGCTTTTAATAAAATATCTTTTGTTGGTATAAAGAGGCATCACATACAAGGATATATGATATAGTCCTAGATAACTATGACCCAAATGATTTATAAGAGTGCCATATATTGGAACAAGGCTTCATTTTGTCAGTGTTGTGATTATTTGGCCTTAAACCTGACTCCACAAGAATGCTCTCTTTTCACAAGTATTAGTTTTATATATACTCTCTGAAAAGATGGCTTATTACTACTTATTACTACTTCACAGAAAGTGAATCTGTCACTTTCGTTTTCCAGCTTTTTTCATTAAGCACAAAATAAGTGAATAATGCATCTTTTTCCTTCTGTTTACTGTTGTGAGATAATGAAAGCAAACTTTAAAATATCTGGCACTTTGCTGGGTGGGGAGACTAAGGGGGGTGGGCAGGGGCATCTGAGGTGGATTTCGTTTCCTGAAGGAGGCCCCATAACAAGTCAACAACTAGTCTGTACCAATGAGGAAGCAACTTCAGACTGCTGCTAAGGCAGTCCCACTCTCCCTGGAGAAGACACATGAGTGACTAACACTCTGTTTTCCTGAGACAGAGCTGAATCGTTTTAGAAAATGTTATGCCAGGGCAGAATAAACTTGCAGCTGCTTCAGAGGGCCAGCTTGCCCTCTCCCCACGCTCTTGACAGTTTTGAGGCCTGTCTCAATCCTGTGGTTCCATTAACATGTACTGCTGGGCGCTAAGGCCTACAGAGGAAGTGTATTCAGTCCCCAAGCTCCCAGGACTTGGGCAGATAACCACGGTTAGATCTAAACAACAGGACAAACCAGATCCCCACCCGCCCAGGCCATTTCTGCCAAGGACCCTTTGTCAAACATTTAAGATCTTCATCAATCTTCACTCTGACCCCCCCCCCCAGGTCCCAAGGAAGATGGATGAGGAAGTAGGTGACCTTTCACCTGTCCTGCTATTTGTCCTGCCACAGTAAACCCACTGAAAAGACAATTGGGGAGGAATGGGCTGCCAGCGTTTTGAAGACTTACCAGTTGTCCTTTTTGTCTCTTCCTAAGTCCCCTTGATACCTGTCTTTCTTATCCAACCCTCCAATTGCTTTCCTTTTATTCAAAGGAAAGTTCTCTTTCTACAGGGGTGAAAAAAAAAATGACACTCCCCAAATATCACTTTGAATAAGAAGTGTGATCATGGACATTATTCCTTGTTAGGAAAACAGCAAGACTCCCTAACTTTAACCTTGACTTCAAAGAGTGGCAGAGAGAGATGGACTTTCCTTGTGTGATTTCAACTGAACACCCTTTAAAGCAGCTCTGACCTTGGGAAGAGCAGTGACAAAAGAAATGCATGTGTTAACACTGGTTTGATGCTTTCTAAGAATCTTAAATCAGTATCCTCTTAGTGAGTCTGTAGGCTCAACACAAGTATTATCAACCCATCTTACTGAACAAATGAGTGCTCAGATACCTTAAGGAGCATGGTCAAGTCAAGACATGGTATCTGTGTGTGTGTGTGAGTGTGTGTGTGTGTGTGTGTGTGTGTGTGTGTGTTCCTTCTGCCTGGACATTTCTCCAAATTTCCACTAATGATGTCAAGGATGAGCTAAGCATTTTCATTCTTTTTAAGATTGTTGCAGTCTGGTCGTCCCCCAAACTCTGACAAATTTTGGATTTAAAGAATCCTCAGTGATTCAATTTTCCCCTTCCTCTCTAAACCCATAAGAAGGTCTGACTTAGTAGTATTATCAGCAAAAGCATAGGATTTTGTGCAATAAAAAAAAAAAAGTCCTCAAGTTAATTATTTTATGAACAGTTAAGAAAGTACCTGGTTATGAGGAGGGGAAACATTGAAACTCAAAAATAGTTCAGCCAACCTTCCTCATCCATTAAACATCAGTCTTTGTGTAAGGAACCTTTTGCTCTGACATGGGCAGAACTTGAAAGGAGGAAGCCTTTCCCTTCCATGAACCACATGATTAACTGGATTCCCAAGATTATTTCCATAAAGCAAGCCACTAAAATGTTCAATTGCCTCTATATTCACGTCCCCTCCCATCTTTTTCTCTTTTCCTCCTAATTTGGGTTGTAAAAATGTCAAGGAGTTTCACGGTATCACAATGTATGAGTTACTGGGCTCTGTGACAATTGAAAATCAATGACATTAGATACAGAGAGATGTACTAATGTCAGATGCATGAGCGTTGTGCAGGAAATGGAAGACAATGATTTTTTTTAATATATAAAAGACTCTTGACATGTGAAGATGTGCAAGTCCTGTCTTACAAAAATCGAAAAGGCAGGATAATTTACTCTAAAATGTGATGTAGTGTCATCGCCCCGTTCATTCCACTCTTCCTGCTATGATTATTGTAATTTAGGTGCCAATAAAAATGCATTCACATATTTTCTAATATTAATACCAGAATAGATTTCAGACTTTCAAAGTGGTAGAGTTTATCTGGTATTTGCAAAGTCAAGAGCAAACAAAATGGCCATGAATTCATCTTAGCAAAAGACACTTCAATAAAAGTTCCAACTTATAAATGTGCAACTTTATTGTACTACTCCAGGACAATGGAGAGTATCCACTATCAGCTGCTCCTAGAAACAACTACAGCAATTCAGGAATGAGCCTGGAGAAATGTATAAAGTATGACACCAAATTAGAAAAACAATTTTCTATAGCTTATAACTGGATTTTCAGCCAAGTGAATTGTCCCTTAGTTAATCCCACTCTGTCATTAAAATGGTTGAAATGCCAGACAAACAGTTTGCCAGTAAGTTATTCTGAGCTCTCTAATCACCAAAGCAGATGAACCATGTGGCAGTCCAGTCTACTGCCCAACAGTCATCCTGAGAAAAGGCTCAACACATCTATTCCATAGAGGGGCCAGGGTTACACTGTTTAGCACTAATCATAATACGATTGGTAGGAGCACACTAGTGATCATCACTAAAAATAAGTAACAACCCCCCGAAAAAGGACTCCCAAAACCTTGGGATAACATGATTTTTTAAGCTTCAACCCACACATGACAGGAACGACCTTTACAAGTATGGTTTACTCTGGTCACTCAGAAATAAAACACTGTTACAATGACTTTTACAAACCTAAGCCTCCCTGGTAATACAAGGGGTTAAGTCCAGGTCTAGGAAGCTATTACAGCATGAGTTTGATCCCCAGCTGGGAGAGCTGACCCACATGGAACAGCAGACCTCTCTTGTCTGTCTGCTGCTCCCCTCAGCAGTGTATTTCAGTAGATCTGTCTGTTCTGCTCTCCACTCTGTCTCTGGCAAATCCTCTCACCACACACCCTCTCCCCTCACCTCTGACCTGTGTCCCAGCAGTATATTTATGTATGCATAAATAAATAAAAAATATTTTATTAAAAAAAGAATTGTAAAATACCTAATTATTAAATCAAAATATAGAGTATCTACTGTATGCATGAGTTACTGGTATATATTGAATGACAACATTTGTATGAAAAAAGGTGAATAAAACTTGCCATTATTTAAAAAAAAAAAAAGCATTTTACAGACTCCCCAGTATTCTTCCAGAAAGGGGATTTTAGGTGAAGCCGTAAAAATCACCTTGGCAGTATGATAAATAGTAATTAACATGATAAAAAAAAAAAGGCTAGATTTCTTAAAGAACTCAATAACCAAAATGGATCACAAAGTAACTATTACCTCTAACCACAGCTCAAATAAGAAGACTCTTACCAGCTCTTTATCACCTCCTCAGGGAAATAAAGAGGGCTTTAGTCAAGATTAACTTCACTTAGACACCAAATCACCGGCATTCCGTTGAAGAGCCAGGCAGTTGGGCCAAGTCTACACTGGTCCATCAGGCAAGAAAAACTGGATTTTCCTGACACAGCTCAATTGAAAACTTCTCATTTAAGCCATTCATAGACACACACGCATGGCAGGAAACTGCGACCGACGCACTCGACGCACTATTTCACCAGGTCTGAGGGAGGGAAGCCAGGGCTGGAGAATGTGTAGCCCCGTTTGAGTAAGATCAATCAGCCCTGGCTTCTGCTTGTTCATTTCCATTTTAGAGGACGAATCAAGCCGGTTCAGACCTAAGTGCCTGTTAGCAAATGTGTTTGGCCTTCTGCTGATTACAGCAGCATCATTTATTTTGTCAGTATTAGAAGCGCCTTAGCCTTGCCACCTGGAGCTGCAGCTCTTCCTCATTAGACCCCTCTGTCCCACCACATCCCACTGGGGCTGCTAATTACTGGCTTTACTCCATTTAGTCTCATCTCTGATTTAATTACATGCACTAAGCCCTAATGAAAAGTACAATATGGCTCTCTTACCTTGGCATTCTCCATTCCGCTCCTCATGCCCAGCGTTGCAAAGGCAGTTGCCAATGGGTACCAGCCACTCACCATCTGCCCCACAGTACATTTTTGGCACATCCTTCTCTTCCGAGTTGTTGACACAGGAGCCTCGAACTTCCACCAGGGAAGAAGTATCAGCTCCAGTGATGGTGTCTGGAAACTGGGCCAGATTACGGACTGTGAGCGGGCACTTCTTATAGAACACGCGGACCGAAACCAGGGCAATGCAGGCGCCCACATCCTGAAACGCCAGGTAAAATCCCTTTTTGCTCAGAGGCCCTACATCCCGAATCTCGGTGTTGAGCTTCATGATTCGATCACCAATGTCCACCTGGGTGAAGCTTTCGTCAGCGGCGATGGTGTCAATCTTGCCAAACTGGCTCTCACGGATAAAGCGCTCTTTGTCGTTGTCTGATTCGTAATAATACAGGTTAAACGTCTCCTTGCAAGTCCCCATGACGCCCGGTAGGCTATTGCAGTCCCTCAAGGTGAACTTAATCTCGATGTACACCCTCTGTGCCCCTTCGCGAGTGATCCAGTCCGTTCGGAGCCAATTATTCTGGCTGGGTTCCATCACATTGCACACTTGGTAGGTTCGGATGGGGGTATTTTTTTCATCCATAATACTCACTTCCTCCCACTGCAAAGGTCCAAAGGAAATGTATCAGTTACACTATGTCACCCTACAATGATCTACCTCGTCAATTTCACTCTCCAGGAACAACGATTTTGTTTCAATAAGGAAAATTACTAGGGACCAATCATCCCTAATAAAGGCAATTATTGTATGGGAGATAAGACATTATTTATTGGGTATGTGGTCTTTTCTGTTTGTTTCATTCTTTTGCCTAAAATCCAAGGACAAGCGTGGATTTATTGCTTGTGAGTTCTCAGCAGTGTATGATGGTGGGCTAACAACCTCCAATTCACCTATTACAACAGCTACAATTTCAAGTGGCAACAGTTCAAATTTACTCATAAATGAAAAACTAGTATGTGTATTGTTTCAACAACTGAGCAGAGACCTGCAAATTAAGAGCAGGAAGAGTAGAGCTTGCCAAAGGAAGACAATTATCAGTTCATTAGTGATGCTCCTGTCAGAACTTTGCTCTCTAATACCTAAAAAAAAGTCAGTCGATTTTTTTTGGCACTAACGCTATGTTTTAAGGGGAAAAGAAAATCTCACCATTCAGGTTTCGGTAATCCTGGGAAGACAGAGAACACATTTTATGGTTGAATTTCTCAGTGACACTGTCATTTACAATGACAGAAGTATTTTCAAGAGCATAAATGCAATTTTGAAGTCTCTCTATTCTAATTTTTAAAGCACCAATAAATATGAATGCTTTGCTTCTAAATAATCTGTGGATATTGAAAATAAAGTAATAAGTGGTATTTGTGATGTAATCACCAACAAAATTAAAGGACAGTAGTTTCTTTGCAGTCTACTTAACATAAAGATTCTGATGATGGAACCATCTGAGTTCAGCAAAAACCATTATGATTAATGTCGTAGTTTTATTCTCATGATGACTTTTAAAAATAATCTTAAAGGCAACAAGAGGGTCCTGGGGTTCCCATCAGGAGACTAGGCAGCCCCAATACTTCATTAATATAAGTAGTAATGTTATAAAAGAGCCTAAGTATCTAACACATGAATACAATTAAGTGGGAAAAAAGACAATTCTAAAAAAAAAATGTGTTCAATAATAACTCCACTTAAAGCGCCATTCAATTCAATAATGTACATAGAATCATAACATTTCTCTTAACGGGTTTCCCATCTATGCATTCGAAAACTCTTAATGGATGGAAATGTTACTATGTGAAGGGCCATAATGCATAAAATTCTGTATCTTTTCATCTGCTACCCTTCATGAAAGTTGGAACTGGGAGGGATAAGTGCCCTGTGGTGATTATTGCTTATCCACTAAGCAATAAATCACTGGTAATTTACTTATTTGGGGAAATGCATGTAAATCCAAAAATAGATTTCCCACCTTAAAAAAAAAAAAAGCCTACTCAGCATGCTTTTCATCTTAGAACAAAGAGAATATGGAAAAACACATTTATCAATGTAAATGGAAGCACATAGGGATACCTTGCCAGAGTTCACACAGGATAATTCAGATCTAAAGTGAATTTTCCAGCCTAAACTTGATGGTCTCTAAACATTTTTCAAACCACTAGAACAATGCCAAATCTCCCCTTAGTTTTATATTACAATCAGCGTCAGAAACTTAAAATATGCCCTTAAATAAACACTGCCAAGAAGTTAGGAGTTTTGCAGCAATGTCATCATCAGAAATCATCACTTTGTGTGGTTCTCCTATTCTGCTCAGTTGTTCTTAAGGAAAAATGACACATGAGTATGTTGTCTCTGAATATGTCATATTTTCTTGGTGCTATTGCCAAAAAAGAAAAAAAAAAGTTTTTTTTCTTTTTTAAAATTACCAAAAAAAAATGCTGTTATCAGACAAAACAGGTTTCCAGACAAGAGGTAAACTGCTCTAATTTCAAGTAAAGAATTCATCATAATCCAGAAACTCAAACGTTCATTTATCCTCTGCTAGAAACAACTTTCAGAGTCAACCCATCCATCCCTTTTGGGTACATATCCAACTTCTCCCTTTAATTCTAAACCTAAAAAAGTGCTCTTTAATTACAAATCTAGAGATTAATTAAACTATATAATTCTTTGGCACACCACTTCTCAATGGCCACTGTATATTTTGGAATGAGTAATTCCAAATAAAATTTTATATTGAACCCCCCTCACAATCATACTTAAAATGTTGCATTCATAATATTTAAGGAAAAGGGGTGGGGGGTGCCTGCCTACACTAAGCCCATAAATAGTTCTGGGTTGTACACAATCAACTATGCACAGTATTTTAAGAGACTTCTAGACAACCAAAAAGAAGTTTTGTGTCTAGAAAAGGTAACCAGGTGTTATTTCAGCAGTTCTGGTGAGGGGGAGGGGGAGACATCTGTATCATATTAAATTGCAATAAAAGCTTTCCAGAAATTAGATAGACTGGAGACTGTATTCAGAAATGTGCCATTCTTCACTTTTAAATACATTACATATATGTGTGTGTGTGTATTTAGTGTAATAAGTCACTTCCAAAATCATACAAGATGCATTAAGTGGATAGTGAAAACCAAGGCTCACTAAATTTTTTAGTGCAGGGACTGATAGCTTCCACCTTCAATTTTGCTAGCAGTTCTAATCCATTCACCCTACAGAGCGATGGTCCTGGTGTAGCATGGGAAAGGCTCAGAGTCAGTGACCTTTCCAGGGTATAGGATTAACAAGAGTCTGACTCTCCCAAGATAAAGCTGTACCTTTCTTCGCATTCAAAGGATGAGGGCAATTGCCTGCAATCAGCGGTGAATACAGCCTGTCTACACTGCCAGAGGCCTGCCAATCACTCACCCTGCCTTCAAAAAAATGGTTTAGAGGGCAGACTAGAATTTTTCAGCAGCAGCTAACCAAACTGACTGCTGTCAAGTTCAGGCAGAAAAACAGAAAGGCGAGGCAATTTTTACTTTATTTCCAACAAATTACGAATCCTGCTGTAGAGAAAGGCCTCCATTCTCATAAAATGTTTACTTGCCTTGTCTTATTTTTGAAGCATGTCTTTATAGCAACGTCTATGAAACCTTTTCAAATCATCTAGAGTTTGCTCGGTGGACAGGTGTAAAGCACCAGTGCTGGGGACTGACTGGCATTGTGTTTTTTGTTTTTGCATCTTTGTTAGCCTGGTAAAAATTTCTAATCTTTCATCCCCATTGTTTTAAATCAATCGACTCAGTCATAGATTTTCAAGTATGTAAAGGTTGGGTGATTTACTTAATTTTTTAAAAATCTGAGAGTTATTTCAATTTGGCAGAAGTTGGGGGTACATGTTGTTCTGATTTCTTTCCAAAGCTGATTCATTCCAACTGGTTATTAAGGGGCAAGGGTAGAGTGGGAGAACATGGCACTGACCTAATTTTATGTTCTGAACCTTCCTGTGGAGGCAGAAATGCCAAATTCAAGAAGTGCTGTGTTCTCTCACAATTTCTAATCCAGTTTCCCTGGAAATTCACAATTCCAAATACTTAAATCTTTTTACCTTTGGAAACCACAATTAACAAACCTGGGTTTTTTTTTGTTTTGTTTTGTTTTGTTTTTTCTGGCAGGTAACATCCATACCCTGGCAGAGTTCCTAAGGTTGCAATCAGTGGGCAAGAAAGAGAACAGTAACTGATTTGAGGTTGTGAAAGCAAGGTAAGGAACCCCCCCACCAACAATGAACAGAATTAAGCCTGGCTGGGTTGGAAATGTTTTCTCCCTAGTATCTTTCTTTACGCATTTTCCTCATCTGGAAACAGCACATGCTCTAAAGTTAACCCTTTTTAAAAGACTTTTTAGACTTTATGGCCATTGCAGTAATAAGCATAAATTCTAATTTGGTCCCTAGATCATATTTCTTGTTGGTATTTTAGATTTAAAGAGGCAGCTAAGTCTAGGCTTCCACGAATCTCCCAATTTTGAAAGCCCTTTCTGCCCTTTTGGTTTCTAATTCTTCCAAGACAGAGCTATCCAATGGGAGTATAAGATTTCTCCAACAAAGCGTAATTCACTTCATAGGCCACGTTGGAAATCTGACCCCCTCACCACAATCAAGGAGAATCAAGCCATTAGGATACTCAGAAAGTTGCTAATCACTCTTTTTCACCCTTTAGATCCAAGTGCAGTTGGGACTTACCCCTCCTTCCAAAGGGCTTGCTATCCACCCAAGTTCTCCCTGAACGGACCTGGAATCCAATAAGGTAACTAGGAGGAAAAAAAAAAAAAAGATTAATTTTCAATTGCAAAAAGCCAATACTATAAAAACCATTGCGTGAGCACTTCCATATGTGTGAGGCCCGTTTCGCCAACCCCGATCAAAACCTAAACTTGGTCTCACTTATGTAAATAATCATTACTCCCTTGGTCTTCTCCCCTCTTTAAGCCTGCAGGTTCGTATTTATTTAACTTACTTAGCATTTAAAATTCCATCCCAGGACTCAGTTGACTCATTTTCTAAAAAGGATGAATAGAGCATCCCAAGTACAATTCAGAAAATAAATCTATCTGCGCAGAGCGTTTACACTCAGAGCAAAATGTGCATTCATCTCTGTCTGGTATCTACTAGCGTTATTTGTTTTTGCAAGTTTCAGATGACCACATAACTCATCATCATGGTGACAGAGAAACAAGTGAATTCTATTAGGGAGTCTGCAAAGGGTCACGAGAATGCTCCCCCACTACCAAGTGTTCACCCCCTCCACCGCCAGTCCCTGGAGGTGGCATCTCAGCCTTTTTAAATATCAAAGTTTCAGAAAAGGGAAATGCCAGACGCTTAGAATTAGAATGCAAATGTACTGAAGTATTCTCTTTCCCAGGTCTTTGAGAAATTAGAGGACAATCGCAGGCTCGTCCTGAGCCCTAGAGGAAATCACTGGTTCGAATTTGAGGCGCGCGGTGCAGCCCATTCTATTTAACCTGCAAGCACTACACCTCACTCAGTACACGGTCCCGCACCAGGGTACCGGGGGCGGGGATCGGGGAGGGGGCGGCTGCAGAACCCCGGTACCTCACCCGGCCGGGCTGGACAGTCCTAGGCACCAAGAACACTGAAAAGTACGCAGTGAATTCCTTAACCTCTTCACATTCCCTTTCCCACTGAGATCCTCAGGCCTGGGGGTCGAGAGGCCCATTTCAAAGGAACCACTGGGTTATTAATTTGATGAGCGAAGCTAGCTTTCGGGTGGGGGAGGGGTGGGAATGGGAAGTCTCCATGCTTGCTCCTCCACACCCCAACTATCAGTCTCCCCCACACGCCCCT